ACTATGTCAGCTGGTGGGATATGTATCTGCTGGGTCACTTTCATTTTGGTGGGACTAGTACCACGTGACTGCGTTATCCAATGAAAACATCTTTTGACAGCATTTATTTTGTAACATTATTTTTTACATGTAATATTATCAAGTAAAACCTTCATTTGACTGTATTTAACATGTAAAGGAAGTTTAAAGTTTAGACTACAAGTCAGAGTAAACCTCTCAAAATTTCGCCCTTTGGATAGGAACTCGCTTTTGTTTCAGTTTAAGCTAGCGTTTAAGATTCGGGTATTTTCATCAATAAAAGTAAACTTTTCTCAACGACACGAAAAGTGCTACAATAGTTCTATTTCTTCTGTTGTATGACCAGTGGCGTAGGCAGGGGGGGGTAGGGAGGGGTCATAACCCCCCCCCCCCATAGACCCCTCGGTATATATATAAAAAGTATGAGGGGGGGTGCAAATCGAAAGTTTGAGGGGGATGCAAATCGAAAGTTTGAGGGTTAGGGTTAGGGTTAGGGTTAGTTTGGGGGGGGGTGCAAATCGAAAGTTTGTCCCCGGGTTAAAATTGGAACACCCCCTCCCCCCCCCCCCCTCCCCCCCATTGAGACGATCCTGGCTACGCCACTGTATGACCAAGAAACCATTCGCTGTATGCGCCGAGTTTCTGCCTCTGAGTTGTCTTGTAATTACTTCGGGTCTGAATGAGTTGTGTATCTTTTCTTAATGCCAGACGCTAATAATACATAGTTATAACCATTTAGATTTATTAAAAGTATCTTCGAAATTGTCTGCACTGTTTAACATTAAGGCTAATTATAGAGTTAGTTGACTATAGAAACTATTTAAAGGTCTGGGGTTTTGTTTTTGTTTTATGGTGATGTTTTTTTTTTAAGATTAGGTTAAAATGGGACATCGTCATAAATAAAAACATCAATTTTGTCGTGTGGTTTTCCTCTACCTCTACAAACCACTGTGGCAATTACCACTCGAAAATGCCGTTAATAATTAAAGAAGGCCTATTTCCCCTATGTCTTCGCGCAGTGGCGTAGGCAGGGGGGGTTAGGGGGGGTCATAACCCCCACCATATACCCCTCGGTATATATATAAAAAGTTTGAGGGGGGTGCAAATCGAAAGTTTGAGGGGGGGTGCAAATCGAGAGTTTGAGGGGGGGGGGTGCAAATCGAAAGTTTGAGGGGGGGTGCAAATCGAAAGTTTGAGGGGGGGGGTGCAAATCGAAAGTTTGTCCCCGGGTAAAAATTGGAACCCCCCACTTGAGACGATCCTGGCTACGCCACTGTCTTCGCGGATTGTATTGAACTCAACTGAAACCAATGACAAACGACGCTAATCCATGTAGGGCCCCTAGATAAATTAGGTAAGCGGTGCATTCAAGAGGTGGGGTAACATTGTTTGATGAAATGTTTTGTGTCACTACAATAAGTGATATAGGGGTGGCGACTGATGACGTGTTCCATCACATCGGGGAAAAAATAATTTAAATCAACCAGGAAGTAAGAATGGCGACCAAAATCTGTGAATAAATGTTCTTCTAAAAACATAACTGTGATACAAAGAGTGGCAAGGGCGCACAACTCCACGTTGGTTTTCATATCAGTGGAATCTCCTATTTCAGGAGGTGCAGTTTCGTCCCCTCCCTGTTAGACGCGGTGGTCTGAATACAAGCGCCAAGTGATTTGCAGCCAGCCTCAGCACGGGGTGATGAAATAGCCAGATATGAAAACACGTAGTTACGTCCCTTTATGCCATGGTTTATTTGTCTTCTCGCCATAATGAGTTCAAGGGTCAGAGGTGATACACTTTAAAATAAACAATTGTAAGTAAACTTAAATTACTTGAAGAGGTACGGCTGTTGTAATAACATGTGGAGGGTGGGTGTGGTCATAAATGTAATCAGTCCGCTGCTATTATCTCCCTGCTTAAAATATTGTACTCAGCTACACACGTTTCCTTTGCTATTTTTATTTATGCTTCACATCATTGACTTATAGAGGGTAGTTTTAGTTAAACTAACATTTGTTTAACAAATTGAATTATTAGTGATAAAATACGATATCGGCTGTTTGTTTTAATAGGCTATTAGACTTACATTTGACAACGATCATGTGAAAATCGGTGTTTCTTCCAGACTTCTTTCTCCGGGGGGGGGGGGGGGGGAGGGCACTTAAAATTTTCGGAGGGGGGGGCATAACATTTTCTGGGGTGGGGGGGGAGGGGGCGGACATTAGTATATGTTTTCTATATCAGGGCCCCGAAGAGATGCCTGGAAGAAACTGGTGAAAATGTACGCCTGTATAATTACGTAATTTTTAAATGTATTTTGATTGATGCTTTTACATACAAATGAACCAATCTCTATGTGTGAAAGCGTCCAACACAAACAATACACGTACATACATACATGTGCCGTACATATAAGTAAAAATAACACCACGCCCGTAAAATTACATAATAGCCTTAATTAAAAGATCAGCCAAATGACTAACTCACGTGTACACACACATAATTATACTCGCCACACTTGTTAGTCTACAAGTTGCCCCCACCCCCCCCCCCCCTTCCCCCACAGTCTCATATGCTTGGCGGATTCACCACAATAACACCCACAACTTACTACACACACACCCTCAACCACCTGATGCGTGGTACATAATACCACACACAA